TAATTTTAAAATATAATAATAATATTAGAAATAATTAAAGTAATTGTAGAGAATTATTCTGCTAGGAGACAACGATGCCACCTCGTGGCTATGAGAGTTTCTGCATACGAATATCTTGTCAGAGGTTAGAGACCTACTTTTGAAGGGGAAGTTCCTTTTTTAAAATGTATGGTACTCCAGGAATAGTGTTAAGAGTAACTATTTGTCCCTTCTGAAGTGATAAGTAACAAATAATCTAGGTTCCTGTGCTAGATATCATACAAATACATGACAGAAACGAGCTGTTCTGCCTCAAACTACTCGTAACCTTTTGTGTTTTAAATGTGGCCTCGTTTAGACTTTCCTGTGATCGTTCCATTTTTGAGAGAGCACATCTTTCTGTTTTGCCAGTGCCAAAGGCTGAGGAGATGAGCCGGAGGCTGGGCAACCTGGCGGAGGAGTTTAAGCAGCTGGTTTATCCCCCTGACTACAATCCTGAGGGGAAGGCTGTAAAGCGGAAACAAGGTGGGTAACGATGCTGCAGACACGCAGCATGGTGCCTGGATTCTTTGATTAGAGGCTTCTGCATTTTCAGTTTGACTGACAGTTTAAAGGAGCTGCTTGTGCAACAACTCCCTTTGCCAACGAGGACTTGCATCCAGTTGTGATTCTTGGGGAGTAGAGGGTATTGTGATATTCAGCTAGAGAACTGCTGGAATGAGAAACTGCAGAGTGAAAACCCAGAGCAGTACAGGAAGCAATGTGCGTAAATTAGTGTATGTAGCGTAAATATATATATTATTGTGTGTGTATAGATTTTTAGTGTTTTTACGAGAGAGTAGTAGAGTTGTTCTTGTTTTCTGTTTGTGTTCTGGGTGAGGAAGCAGACCTTTACGCATGGACTGTTTAGCCAGTACAAGATGGCCATCTTTAGGACTAAATGTCTAAGTAATGCTGAACTGAATGTGGCGTTTGGGGGTCTGTGAGACTGCAAAACAAAGCGAGAGTGGCAGTTAGCTGAGCTCCCTATGAATTAGTGCATTGTGCTCTCTGGATGACAATCACGCAGGGTTAATCTGGGAGTGGTTTTTCCATCAGAACACAAAGGTTCATCCTGGAGTTTGAGATCACTCCTATCGGTGAAATACGGTATCACCTACATAGTGGGCGACACCTACTTCGTAACACAGAATGTGGAAGCTAGGCCTGCAGGTAGCTGTTAAAATACCACGTGCTAACAGCCACTAACTCTGGTACGTGTAAAGAAACATCGGTGTCCATCTGTTAAGAAAGTTGTTTGTATCTTGGTGATGTAAAATTTATCTTTCTAGCTTCTGACGGTCAAGCTGAGAAGAGGCCCAAGGCAGAAGTCTCCAAAGACGAGCTGCGGAGTCACGTGCAGAAGGGCACCCTAGGCAAGCTCACCGTACCTGTTCTGAAGGACGCCTGCAGGCTGTGCGGGCTGAAGGGTGGGGGGAAGAAGCAGGAGCTCATGGATGCGCTGACCGAGTACTTTAATGAGCGCTAAGCAGGAGCAGGCGGCCCTGGCTGACGTCGTCTGCTTCAAGCTTGGTTGTCTTATGTGGATGCCGTGTCTGATTAGTCTTGCTGTGGAGGAGGGGGCGACTGGATGTTGCTGAATCCGGCAGCGGAGAAACTTCACTCTTCGTTGTGAAACATCTCTGCAAACTTGGATTCTGCTCACAGTAGCCAAAGGCAGAATTAAATTCCCTGCTAACTCAGGTCACCTGCTGCAAGCGAACGCAGTTGTGCCTTCCTGGTTTCTTAATAAAAGTTATTTTGGACTTCTGTGCAGCAGTGACTCTACCATCTTCACGTCAGAAAGATGGCAAAACTGACTTTGGTGTGAGTAAGCGAACAGCACGCTGTGTGTTAACGGCACCTCGTGAATTCGAGCAGCAGGTCAGGTCTGTGTTCTGCCAGCGGGGTGTAAATGTGGCGTATTACTCTCCTACTCTCCGGAACAGCCAGGCAGTGTCGGTACTCGTCATCAAATCGAGTTCTTTTCTACCACTGACCTTATAAACATTACCACCAGCAGATCAAAAATCATGACTGGGAAGCGGTAACCAATCCTTTGGGCAAAAAGCCAACACTTCACAAAGCTGCACAGCCAGGTCCACTTTTAAATGGAAAAAAGCTGGTTTGAAAAAGGAAAAAAAAGGAAAAAACCCCCAGTCTTGTTCCCTGGAAGGCTGCAAGCACTTACCCCAGTGAAGTTACTGAGGTGGCACAGAGCTTTTCCACCTCCGTCCCGAGGACGAGTCAGACTGTTGTGCAGGCTTCTGTACTCAAACCTGTGCTTTAAAAAGGGGAAAACGGTGGAGAGCAGCCCTTGTTACAGCCAGTTTTTGTTCTTTTAATCGTACTTACTAAGGCTGCATCTGGGGCAGCTATGTTTTGGGTTCTAAACTCCCACCCCTGGCTTGCCCCACCTGTCTTGCAGTGCAAGACTAAAACCAATCAACAGCCGTTGCCACGTCATCTATTATACTTTAAATCAGCCCGCGTTACAGTGGTGGTCGTAATAAAGATTTGTCTAAGCAATCCGTTTATTTTGCCCTTCAGCAGGGAAGTCACTGTAAATGCCTGTGTTAGCAAGACTTGAACACAGTGAAATAGTAGACTAGCCTGTCCTTAATTCCGTGAATTTTCATTCCCTGAATGCCCTTGGCTTGCTAACCCCCAGGCACAGTATGCTCCAGGCTTTGCACAATTATGGCGCCTTTCGTCTAGGTCATTACATCTTCCTCCTGGCTTTTTTTTTTTCCCCAGCAGGTTATTGCATTAAGCAGAAGTGCAAGGCTGGTGAGGGAAGGCTTCAGAGCAGAAAATTAAGACAGTTTTACTTGCTCAAGAATCCTTTATTTCTGCTCCGTATGTGCTTTGTCTTACAGCAGCTGTCTTGGCATGGTACGACAGGGCAAGTCCTTTGCAAAGCTGTGGTTCTAAACACAACCAGCTCGACGCTCAGCATCAGTAGAAGGGAACAGCATTTCTCAGTTTCAAATGAAAGGACTTCAAAAATCAGTGTATTAAGTTCACCCCAGCAAAAATGTTGATTACCAGAAATTTACAAAAATACACAGACATGACTTTGTCCACTCTTTCACAAGCTGATTTTATCTGCCTGGGAGGTACTTCCTGAACGTAGGAAACTAGTGCCTCTGTGGAAACATTACAGGAGCACTTAATTATCCCTTCTGCTGTTGTACCTGTCTATTGCTCTGTCCATGCTGGCTTTGCTTTGCCATCCTGCAACAGGAGACGGGGTTGAGGTGACCCATTCCAACACAGGTTTGGACTCTCCTGCTCGGAGTAGTAAGTGGATTGATTATACAATATGCCTGTAACGAAAGCTAGTGCCATAAAACCACCCCTAATCCAGAGTGCTGGTGGTGCCTCACACTTTTCCAGAACAAGAGACTATCTAATGTCCTCTTCTTGAGACACAAGTTGTTCTGTCTGAAAAATTACTTGTTCACTGTTGCCTCGGCCGTCACTTAAACGTTTTGTTTTTAGTCAGGTGACTACACTACAGCAGCTTCCCCAAAAGCATGAGATGTGTAGGGCACCTACCACCACATTTTGTACGTAAATGCCCTAGGAAGCCTAAGTTTACGGATACAGCCCACAGAAAGGAAACAAGGAGTATGAACTGCTACACTGCAACAGCCTTCAGGCAATCTCTGAGCAGTTTAGCTTTACAAGCAGGAACACTTCAGTTAGATGCAAATGCTTCCCCGAGGGAATGACAATTATATTTAGCTTTGTCAGCAATTTTATTTTTCTTAAAAAGTCAGTATTTAAAAAATAAGCGAGAGAAGATTTCCCCTTGTGCGCTGCTGTAAGATTCCTGCTCCCCGTACACCTCTTACGGGAGTCTCTGGTCTGGTTTAAGGAAAAAGGGTTGTGCTACGTGTACTAATCTCGGCTCTGTCCGGTGCCTGCCTTACGCACAGCCTGCTCTGCTCCACTGCTCCAAGCGGCAGCTCCAGCAGCCTGTGCCGCACGGGGAACCGGCACGCCTTACCCTCCGCGGGCTGGACCGCAGCGTTACTCGCACTGGTTGGAGGCTGAAGCTTAGCAGAAACGCTGCAGAGGGAGCTACGGGGCGGGTTAAAAAAGCCCTGAGCAGGCAGACATGGAGATGGGGGGGGGTTTTGTTAATTCTTTTTTTTTTTTTTCCTTTCTTTTGAAGATCAAACAGGGAATACAGTTGTACAATCACTTTTCAAGAAGTAATACAATGAGAATGTACGTGTTAGAGTGGAATAATAAAAAAAAAGGGCGAGGAGAAGCAAAACCACTAAAAACTGAGCCATTATTAAACAAAAATGTGGCGTTTTAAAATGAAACACTGATATCAAAACTATCAGCTGAAACTAGACACAAATTCCCTCTGACTTCAACTGCCCTATTCCACACACACACAAACTCACGGGCATTTAGACCAACAGTCTTTCTATAGCTTGCTGGACAGACTGGATCTGAGGCTTTAGCTGTGATCCCTCCTTGATGGTGATGGAGCAGGCGATGACAGGCCGGGAAACGCCACAGGCCCGGCCCAGGGCCTGCTTGGAGCGCACAAACACGTAAGGTACGTTCTTATCCTCGCAGAGAAGAGGGAGGTGCAGGATGATCTCCAAGGGCTCTGCATCTGCTGCCATCACAATGAACTCTGCTATCCCTCGGTTCAGCGTTTTGGTGGCTGCAAGAGAAACGGAAGAGCTAAGTCTGCATCCTCCTCTGGGATGTCCAGAGGTCCCCTCAAACCCAAATCTTACAATTCTAAACTGGCCAAGCACCTGGTAATCCCAGTGCCACACCACTAAAGCATGCGTGATCCCAGCACATGCACCAGGAACACGGTTTGGACATCGACCAGCGCTGCACGTACGCGTTGACAAACAGCAGCTTACTTCTGTCCCCAAATACTGCTTAAGCAGGTTAGAAGGAGGAGGCAGGAGAGGGACATTCGCAGTACCCAGATCTACGTAACATCAGTGGCCCATGGCTAGAGAGAAGTGGCAATATCTAGCCACGGCTTCTCACAAAATCCTCGCTACAATTCCAGCGCTTGTGGCGCGCTTCACGACACACAGGTCTCACCTTCATTGGCTCCCTTGCGTAGCTGCTTGTAGTTGCAGGACTGCTGCACGAGATCCAGGAGCGTTTTGGTGAGCTGTGCATCAGCCAAGGGATAAGCTTTGGGATTCACTTCTGCCTCACTCTACAGAAAGGAAGAAGTAGAGAGTATTACAACAGGAGCAAAGGGGCCTTTGTTTTGAACACCACCACGCAGGCCTCATGCCCTCTACATGCGTTGACTACCGGAGTCACATCACGATTCTTGTCTGCTCTGCACAGAAACTAGAAATCCCACCGTGTTTTATTTCAAGGAGGGATTCTTGCATTCAAAGCAGACAGTAGCCCTAGTCAGAAGGTCAATTTGCACCCTACAGACCAGCAGCGGTGACCTTAAGGGGCACTCTTCAGGCAGTTGTTACCACGGACACTATATAACGCAGCATTTCAGTGCACAAGTGAACAAGCTCAGACACGATTCTTCAGGAAGTCGCGGGAAAAGCACACATCGGGTTTATATCTGCAAACTGCAAGTAGTTTCCAAACGTTAACGCAAGCAGCTCTGGCAGAAGGGCAGCTTCCCCAGCTCCCCCCGCTGCAGCCCGCGCAGGGGCTCCCAGCACGGAGCAGGGGCGGCCCCACGCC